AAGTTGAGGGTTTTGGAGAAATAATTGTAAAAATCAAACTCTATCCAATCTGCGTATCCCTTCAAATTACACAAATTAATTTGAATAAAATTGTTTAAAACTCTTAAATTTATCCCTAATAATTTGAATTGTAGCTTTAGTTAGAAATTAACTAATTAAAATTCAATCTTATACCACATCAATGTTAGTTTAGTTTAGGGATAATATTTTAAAGCAGCATCCTTTTCTTTTGTAAAGTTTGTTGAACATATTATTTAGTTAAAACAATCAAATTGATCGGACATTGATAAGTACACGATTGAATCACAAAATCATGATAAAAAAAGACTTTGAGTACTATTTGGAAAATAAATCCTTTATTGATTTTGTGATTCAATCATGTTGATATTAATATTCGATTATCTTAATTTTTTTATATAAATAATATATTCTTTACAAATTTTATAAAATGAACAATTTAAATTATCAAAATCAACTTACTTTAGACCTTCAAAAGGAAAACTATAACATCTAGTGCAGTCCATTATGAATTAAGGACGAACTTTTATCAATTTTAAAAGCCATTACGGGAGCTTCTATTTGCAACCAATAATCGTTAGTATGTCAAATGTTTCAGTACTCTCTATTAAATTATTTGGGATTACAATTCACTTTCAATACATTTTATATTTTTTTCACAAATTACCCTTCAAGGTATATCCAAATAATAAACAAATTAAAATTTTTTAATTACACACCACTTTTAAAAATCCTCTCAAAAACTCAAGCAAATTTATCATTATAACTATTCTTTTTATTCATATACAGGAATGACGACACCGAAAGAATGACAACACCGGAAGAATAACGAAGGAGGAGGACGAAGCAACCAATAACTCTCTTTGCTTTCCAGAATTCATTTTTCAAAAAATTCTATACTTTTTTGTTTTTCATATTTTTTTATTTTCACTGAATTTTTTAATATTTAAACACACCTAACATAAATACACTTAAAAAGTATAATATTTGTAAAAAAAACTTTAAAAAATTCACTAAGTGCCAAAAAACAAAAAAAAAAAAAAAACAATACATTTTTCTTATTTTTATTTATTTATTAATTTTTTAAAATATTTTTTCACAAATATTTATTATTTTAAATACATCTAAGTAAAGTGTATCTAAAAAAGTAAAAAAATTACTTAAAATTTTAAAAATATTAACTTAAAACAAAAAAAATATAAAACTTAATTTTAAAAAAATTAAATTTAAAAAATTAAAATCAAACACACGAATATTATTTCGAGGACGACACTGCAACATGGCTCTATGATCTCAAGCTTGGCAATGGCAGCTACGTTTGCAACAAACAGCCTTTACAATATTATTAAAAATATACACTGTTGTAGTTTTTCCAATAAGCTGTCACAAGCAATCAATGATAGAAAAATAAATCTGTCACTAATAGTATTTATATACACAACACAATTTTCAGTTTTTTAAAAATATTTTACAAAATTTAATTTTCATATTTTTTTTTGTTTTTATTAAATTTTTTAGTATTTTCAGTAATTTTTTTAATTTTGACACACACCTAATATAAATACGCTTAAAAAGTATAATTTTTGTGAAAATAATCTTTAAAAAATTCACTAAATACCAAAAATATAAAAAATATATATATAAAATTCAGTATATTTTTATGTATTTCTTAAGTTTTAAAATATTTTTTATAAATATTTTACTTTTTAGATATATCTAAGTAAGATGCATCTAAAAAAGTAAAAATAAAATGCTAAAATTTAAAAATATTCATTAAAAACAAAAAAAAACGAAAAACAAAAAAACTCAGTTTTTAAAAAACTAAATTCAGAAAACTGAAACCAAATACACTGACTGTATTTTTTTCAATAAGTTTGATTTTATTCAAATTTCTTCTATTTGTATGTAATAAATCAAAAATAATCCTATTGATGATAATAGTGAGTTTTGGTAGGATAGATTAGAGTTTTGAATTGAGGAAGAAGATAAAGAGAAAATAAAACTTGGAGAAGAAGATAAACCGAGTTGAATATGAAAAATACGTATCAGTGAATTGGATGTACCATGAGAAAAAAATAATATTTTATTTCAAAATTTAATGTGTATTGTCTTTGTTGATAAATTTACATTAAAATAAAATAGAAATTAAAATTTCAAAATTTTAATTGAACATAATGAATTATTATATAGGTACAAATAGAATTACCGGTCCATTACTTATAAAAAAAAATTAATTGGAACATAACTTTATGATGGCTTGCGATATTTTTTAACAAGCTATGCTACAATGACAGATATTACCAACCACTCACATATATAAATATAATAAAAACAATTAAGAGATAATTATATAAAAAATTAAGATTTGAGTCTTTTTATAAAATAAAAACACTGAATTTTTAATTTTATTAATTTTAATTTTAATATTTTAATTTATTTTCAATCTAAATTATTTGTATATTTTTATTAAGTAAAACCGATAAAAAAATTTATTTTAATTATTAAACTCAATATAAATATATATAAAAAAATTAAAAAATTAATTCATTGATTTTATTTAACAGAAAGAGATAAATGGTTTAGATTAAAAATTAATTAAAAATTTATAATTTAAATTAACAAAATAAAAAAATCAGAAATTATTTAATTTGTGTCTCTATTTTTATTTATTATTTATATCACTTTGTTTGATTTTAGTTTTTATAATTTTTTTTGCAAAAAACTTTGCTTTTTCGTTTTCCATATTTTTTTATTTTCACTGAATTTTTTTTAATATTTTAAGCATTTTTTTTTAATTTTTAGATACACCTAACGTAAGTACACTTCAAAAGTATAATATTTGTATAAAAAAATCTTTAAAAAATTCATAAAATATCAAAAAAATAAAAAATACAAAAAATAAATATATTTTTTATATTTTTGTGTATTTATTAATTTTTTAAAATATTTTTTACAAATATTTTATTATTTAGATACACCTAAATAAGATACATCTAAAAAAAATACTTAAAATTTTAAATGTATTCATTAAAACAAAAATAAAAATAATATTAATTAATTATTTTAAAAATTAAATTCAAAAAATTGAAATCAAATAAATTATTATTATTATTATTTGTTGTTGGACACGTGACATAACGAGCTCATTGAAGTTGGATTTTGGTAGTGAGTAGCGTCGGTGGATTACGTGGCACGCCCTTCGACAAATCGCATGATTAAAAGCTTAATACCCTCACCAAATCCCCTTTTAGTCTTCCCCAAATATCCACCGTTCATAATCACGATCTCTCTCTCTCTCTCTCTCTCAACATTTTAATTTGACCCCGTTTTGCAAGGGGTGGTTTTAGTCCAAAAAAAAAAAATATAATTAAAATTACAAAATTATTAAAAAATTAAAAAGTCAATAATTTATATTAAAAAATTAAAAATTTTCTTTTCCTCTACCTTTTTACATCTTTTTATAAAAAATTAAAAAATTATCTCAAATATATTAATTTTTTATATTATAATTTAACTAAAAAGTCAAAATATTACTAAAAAGTTCATTCCTAGACGAATGGATAACTTGCAGGGCTGTTTTGGAAATTGGATAAAAGTTAATTTTTAATCTTTAATTTATTTTTAGTCGAATTATTTCTTAAATTTTTTATACCTTTTTTTTAAAAAAAAAGTTAAAAAGTTAATTTTTAACTAATTTTCCAAAACAAACTGTCATCTGACCACTTTCTTATTTTGTCTTTTAAAATTTTTGTATTTTTATTTTCATCTTTCATATTTTAATTTTTTTAATTTATTATTGAAACAAACTTTTGTACAACGTTAGATAAAAGTAATTAGTTGACGATCAGAGAAATATAAAAATATTTGATTATGGTATTGTTCGGTAATTGAGTTGATTTTTTGGTTAAATTAGTTATAAAAAGATAAATATACTAAAAAATTAATAAAATAAAATGTCATACTAAATTATAATTATCTTATTTTTTCTCTTACAAAATCAAAAAAGTCAAATCAAACAAACTTTTTAATCTTAAGCTAAAATAGTTAAAAAAGTCAATCCACATAATAAATGAAACCTATATATAATATAAATTCAAATTTTAATATAATAATATTTTTTATATTATGTTAAAATTATTATGATATTTTCTGTTCAATTTTAAATGAAAGTTAACTTTAAAAGTAAATTTAAAAAACCTTAATATAAATTTTATGAAACAAAACAAAAAAAAAATTATCAAACATAAAAAGGCTCCATTTGGCAAGAGCTTTTTTTGCTTATTTTAGTCACAAAAGATAAAATAGATTATTTTAATCACAATAAACAAAACACCACATCCAACTCATAATCATTACACTCTTCTCTCACAAAAAAAAATTATAAAAACTAAAAAATCAAAAAAATATCTCAAATTAAACTTTTTAACCCAAATTAAAATAATCAAAAAATCTAAAAGTCAAAAAGTCAACTCAATTCGGCAAAGGAACATAAAAACATCAAAGAGTGATTTATCTTAACTTAATTTTATTAAAGCTAATACTACTTTCTTTAAGGAATCATTGACTGCATAACAGAAAATGCAACATTCTTGAGCGAGAGAGAGAGAGAGTGTGAGTGAGGGTGTGTAAGCAAGTGAGAGAGTGTACGGAGGCCAAAAATTCATCGACCATGAATTGAAGTGGTACGCAGAAGAAGACAGAGAAAAGAAAAACACACAAATGGCTGAAACAGAGAAGTCCCAGCAAAGCAAAGAAATGAGTGAATGAGAAAGACAGACAGCAATTTGAAATTCCAAATCTAGAGAGAGGAGAGAGATGGATCAGAGAAAAGAAAAAGTTAGAGAGAGAGAGAGGAAAAAGCAGGAATTCATGGGATTAAAGTTGAAACGCGGTATATTGGTGGGGAAAAGAGGAGGTACTTGTACTCCTTCACCCACATGGAGATTTGGGTTTGAAGAAGAAGATCTCATCTTCCCCACCACCACCACCACCGCCGCCGCCGCCACACTCTCTGCTAGGAAGCTCGGTGCCAATCTCTGGGAAGTTCTGCCCCAATTGAAGGCTGTCAAGATGAGCAAAGGAGGTGCTAAACTCCCCAATCGCCGCCACAACAATCACAAGGACAGGGGTTTTGAACTTCCTACCCAAATTGATGATCCTCCTGATAGCCCCCTTGAGGAGGTACTTTTTTCACTATTTATTTATTTTTTTCTAAAATTTGGATGATGGGTTTTTCTGGGTTTTTCTTTTTCCTTTTTGTAATGTTGAATTTTGTGGGTTTTACTTCAACTAGTGCAAATGTATCCAACATTTTGTTTCTTTATTTGTTATCTGATTAGGGGTTTGTGTTGTTTTTCATTTATTTATTATTCATGATTTGTTAGCTGTTTTTTTATACAAGTTTATTTATTTGTTATTATTATTTTGATTTAGGTGATTACATGCTTGTCTTATATCTAGAGAAATGCATTTGTTTGGTGTCGTTTTCCTTTTGTCTGTTTTGCTTTTCTTTATTTTGCTTTCTTTCTTTTTTGACTTCATTTTTTAATTGCAATGTATATCTAACAAAAAATTTTCCCCCTGATAAGTACTTGTTTGTGGTTTGGTCTTGACCTAGCTTTTCTACTGTGATATATTTCTTTTGGGGTTGTGTTATTTTTCATTTTATTTATTTAGTATTCTTGATTTGTTAGTTGTTTTTGATGATGTGTTCGCTTAGGAACCAATCATCAATTAAAGTTTTGGTCTTATGTTCTTTGTTTTTCATTATTTTTTCATATATCAAGAGAAAAATATTTGTTTGATGCTTCTTTTCCTTTTGTCTGTTTTGTTTTTGTTTCTTTTCTTTTGTTTCTTTTTTGATTCTTTTTTATTGCATTTGTAATTATATAGAGCCTGTTTGGCATAACTTTTAGTTGAAGGTTTTCTATCAAAGGCTTTGTGGGGAGGACTTTATGAGGAGGAGTAACTTGAAATTACTTAGTGCCAAATAACTTCCAACTAACAATTATGTCCCGTTAGCATTGTCATCCACCGCGATCATTTTTCTTATAAATTTTAATTTAAAATATAATTGCAAGGAAAGTGGAACCAAAAAGTAACTCTGTGCAAGTTTTGAATGATTGAATCAATGCGTTTGACCCTTTTTTTTGTGAATCTTGAGTGCAAAGGAATTAATTAGGCAGACTCGACTATGGATTTGGAAGAAATCTTGTTGTCTCAACACCTTCAAAAGCCATTTTCAAGGAATTATCACCAGAACATGATCTATAATATGTTGCTTATTAAAAAAGAAAAAAAGACCAATAATATGTTAATCAACAAATATTAAAAGGAGATAAAGCCATGTCTAGGTTTGGTTGTAGAAGAATATCTTATCCTTAGCTTAAGCTTCTCGTTCTGAACAGCCACAATTAGAGATCAGCCTTCAAGCTTCCATAAATCAACTATAAATAAGCATTATGACAAAGGGACACATCAAATTGAACAACAAAATGTGAAAGAGGGTATCTTAACATTGCAAGACAAGAAACCATTTGGTTGTTCTTCAAACAAACCAACACAACAGTGAACACTTCGAAAGCAAAGAACTTGAACCTATCAACTCGCTCAATCCTCGCTGCATCCAACGAAGAATACTGGCTTAGAAGCCAACTCATATACCCAATTGCAACCATACACAAAAACCAACAAAAAAACTCCAAATTAGACCATTCAATCAATGCGGATTAGTCTCTAAACACTACTTAAAGGCTGTCCACATTGACAAACCCACACAAACTTCAGCATCCAAGTCCTTTTTAAGAAACTTCAGCATTGAAATCCTTATCCCTTTTCTTGATAAGTGAGCATTAATGTAGGGAATTAAACCAAACGGTGCCTATGGTACACACCCCTTATGCACCTTATAACTAAAGGGTGTGTACCGTATGCACCTTATAACTAAAGAAGAAAATGGCCTAATTTCATACTTTCTGAGTCATAACTAAAAAATAAAAAAAAAAGTGATAACCAAACAAAATATGAGACATAACCAAAGATCTCATAAGTCATAATTAAAATAAAGTCATAGCTAAAGATGAAAATTGGTCATAACTAAAAAAGAAAATGACATAACTTGGAGGTGCATATGGTAAGGAGTGTGTATAGTAGAATTTCCCATTGATGTAATCTTACTCATGAATTGGATTATGAAAGTTATTCTCTAGTTCTTCTTAAAACTCACTAAAAAACAGAAGCACTTGCATTTTTCAAATGGGTTAGGATAAATTTGAGTGAAGCTTCACCAAGATGCCATCTAGCCTAGCTAGTAAATGCTCTTTGTAGTTGTATTGCAATCAAATCACACCATCATCCAGAAATTTTACTTTTTACAATCATTTGGTTCTAGATTGGTCCATCTAGTGAATTACTGGGAAGAATTTCCACATCTTATTTGCAATTTCTTTTAGTCCTCTGACACTCTTAACCCTCAAGGATGGACCTTCTTTTCAATTGCCATTCATGTTTTTACCCTTTTGTTTGTTCCAGCCAGCCAGTGGTAGTAATTTGAGAAGAAATATTGCGGCGTCACTGATTCAACACCATCGATCAGTTGAAAGAAATGGTCATGCCCTGCAGCCTGTTTCTCCTGCAAGTTATGGTAGCTCGATGGAGGTAATCACATATTTCTGTAGATAATCACTTTTTTTTGTAATAAACAAAAAATTCAAATAAAGCTGAAGGATTTGTATTTTATGTAAATCTTATTAGCTCAACAATTGATAAATGAAATGGAGGTTCACAATTGCCTTGAGGATCTTGTATTGGGTTCATAGTTCTCAAATCATGATAAACAATATTAGGACCTTACACGGACTCGGGTGCGGGTATCCGTTTGTAAAGAGCCATATCCCGCACCTACACCCGCACTCGTGTCGTGTCGTGTCGTGTCGACACAGGTATCTCCAAAATTCCAAAGAGTCTGTGTAACGTAGATCAGGACAAAACTATGGTCAGAAAGGTAAAAATATAAATATAGCAAAAGATATGACATTCCGTTCCATTATTATATCCCAAGATCAAATAAGTTTATACTTTTGACATCAAAGATTAAAAAACTTTACTACAAAGTGAAAGTTCCAATTATTGGGCAACATATCAAAATCCAAAAGTTTTTAATTTCAATTGTCCAACATCTAGACAAAAGAAAGAAAAGGAAAAGAAAAGAACCCCGGGATTTGGGGGTGGGGACCAATATGCATCTCTAAGCATAACAACATAAATATGTTTCCTGTGCTTAATAACTATATCATATGTTTTTCGCAATGTGTTTACCATTTGGTTTCAATTTTAAATTTGCAGTTTTCGAAGTTTTCAAGATTTTTCCCATAACAAGGAACTTTATTAAGTAATCTAGAGTATGATTTGATTAGGCTTCACTTGATTTGGATATTTTAATCACTTGTGGTCAATAACATTTTGTTTTGTATGCCAATGAAAAAATTGTTGAAGTTTCAAAACTCATGTGATAAAATGTCTCACGTTATAATAATGTAATCATTTCAATTATTTCTTCTTTCACATGTTCATTTTAAGCACCATATATGGTTGATTCATTTCCTTTACTAATTCATTTGTCCCATTTGAAATGCTTCCTCTGAACACTTTTAAAGCAATTGCACCCTATTTATACTAAAATACACATTTGGTCCTCATAGGTAGCACCTTATAATCCTGCAGCCACCCCAACTAGTTCTCTGGATTTCAAGGGTCGGAACGGAGAGTCAAGCTTCAACCTTAAAACATCAACAGAGCTACTCAAAGTACTCAATCGAATCTGGAGTCTCGAAGAACAGCACTCATCCAATATGTCATTAGTGAATGCATTGAAAAGGGATTTGGATCATTGTCAAGCACGAATCAAAGAGTTACTACGAGAGAAGCAAATGAATTGTCAAGAAATGGATGACTTGATGAAGCAAGTTGCTGCGGACAAAATTGCAAGGAAGAACAAAGAGCAAGATCGAATAAAAGCTGCAGTTCAGTCGGTGAGAGAGGAGCTAGAAGATGAGAGGAAATTAAGGAAGCACTCGGAGAGCCTTCACAGGAAGCTAGCTCGAGAACTTTCTGATGTGAAAACTTCGTTCTCCAATGCTTTAAAAGAACTTGAAAGTGTGAAAAAAGCGCGAATTTTGCTTGAAGATTTGTGTGATGAGTTTGCTAAGGGGATAAGAGATTATGAACAAGAGGTGTGGGCCCTAAAACACAAGCCTGATAAGGATCGTATTCATAGGGAAAGCCCCGATCGGTTGATTCTCCATCTTTCCGAAGCGTGGCTTGATGAGCGGATGCAGATGAAGCTCGTTCAACCTCAGTATGATCTTGGAGAAAAGAACACAATCGTGGACAAGTTAAGCCTCGAAATAGAAACCTTTCTACGAGCCAGACATTCTGTCAGTTCTATTAATAGGAACATGTCCTCTAAAAAGCCAAAGGAAAGCGGCTTACGTAGGCATTCATTGGAGTCCTTTCACTTGAATGAGGCTGTGAGTGCTCCTCATGATGTCGGTGATGAGGAGGATTCTCATTCTACTAGTAGCGAATCGAATTGCTTCGAATTAAACAGGAATTCGAGTGGAAAGCAAAACAACAACGGTAGCTCTAAACAACACGGGGATGATCATCTTAAAGAAAAACCCAAATCAATTCCAACAAAGAAAAAGGTCCGGTCACGAGTCAGGGCTCAACCTGGCTTGCAAATGCAGTTTGAACAACATATGGCCGGGGCTGGGTCGTGTAATGGAAACAGGACAAAGGTTGTGGCAAAGGACGTGGGGGAAGATATTGAAGCAGAGGACCCAGTTGAAATAATTGAGACTGCAAAAGAAGGTTTGCGCGAAAAAAAGAATAAACGTGTCGGGAACCCAAATCATATGCTCAATAACTTGATTAGAAACCATTCCTTGTCATTGGAAGGAGGGAAAATTCACTTGGATAATAATTCCATGGAAGATTCTCGCGGTCAGTTAGCACTTCCAGGTCATGCTAGTCCGGTACAACCATGGATCTCCAGATTCACAGCCCCAGATATTGAAGCATCTGAAACTTCTTCTAGATGGTCTCATCAGTTGAAAGAGAACACATTGAAGGCAAAGCTACTCGAAGCAAGGTTAGAGGGCCAGCGTTTGCACTCAAAAGTGTCCAAGGGCTCTTCGTAGGCCAATTGAACTGTTATCTGGCTGCAGTAACAAGATTTCTGACAAGGAATCGCGGATTTTGTGGGTATTGGGCCTTTGGCCGGTATCCTTCTGCCTCAATTGGATGTTGTAGTCTAGTAATTTCAAAATAGGTGCCAATTTTTTTTTTTGTTGGTTTAGCGGGAGCCTCATGTACGGTTTTTTTTTTTGTTGTTGGTAATTTTCGAATTGCATCTGTAAATGAGAATGTATTGTTAGCCACACAGTTACTGAGATCAACTAGAATTCAAGCACCTTCACTAGTTTGGTACCCTTGATTATCAGAGCTCTATTGTGCATTTTCAAAGTTCAGTGTCTATGGAATTTTCCAACACTATTACCTTACTATCACAGGTTCATTTCTTAATTCACTATTTTGTTTTTCTAATAATGATTGGCTGCTTGAATTGGAGTGAATTTATGTGTGCTTGTTCAGCTATCTACCCTCTAACTTGCAAGAATTGCTTTGTTGTTATTTTGAGAATTTAGTGATGTTATCTTGATATGTACATTGTTGTCCCTATTTTCTAGTAGCTTAATTTTTTGGAACAATTAGTGATTTAACATAGTATCAAAACTCTCATTTAAGGACATTTTGAGTTCAAACCTCGTCTATCCCATTATCTCTATTGTTGTGCTTTTTTGTGACTTAAAAAAAAAAATGATGCATTTGAGAATAGTTTTGACCCAATGTTCTTAGCACTTGCAAAGGTTTTACTATCACAGGTTCATTTCTTAATTCACTATTTTGTTTTTCTAATAATGATTGGCTGCTTGAATTGGAGTGAATTTATGTGTGCTTGTTCAGCTATCTACCCTCTAACTTGCAAGAATTGCTTTGTTGTTATTTTGAGAATTTTGTGATGTTATCTTGATATGTACATTGTTGTCCCTATTTTCTAGTAGCTTAATTTTTTGGAACAATTAGTGATTTAACGTAGTATCAAAACTCTCATTTCAGGAGATTTTGAGTTCAAACCTCGTCTATCCCATTATCTCTATTGTTGTGCTTTTTTGTGACTTAAAAAAAAAAAAAATGATGCATTTGAGATTTGGCATATCCTCAAGGTCCTTAAAATTGTTTTTTTCAAATGTAACTAAAGATTCATATATTTATGGGGAAATTATTGTCCAGAGAATTTTTTAAAATTACAAAAGCATAAAAAAAGTATATAAATTTACTTTTTTTAATATACGTAAAATTTATCATTGATTTGACGATACTTTTTTAAACATCCAGGGGGTGAAATTTTCCCTATATTTATAAACTAGACACATGCCCTTGGAATATGGGCCCATGATTTGTTTTCTCATAATGGTTCATTTGGTTTTCAGTATCATTTGTTGGCCCCCTTTTCCCCCAAGTCAAACCATCATTCTCTCAACTATCATTGCAAAAAAAAAAAAAAAAAAAAAAACTATCACTGCAATCTTTCTCCTTCAAGTTTTTTTAATATGATGCATAATTTTTTTATAAATAAAAATAAATAAAATGATGAAATAAATTTGGGGAGTGAGAAATAACCTTTCTTATTTTTTAACAAATAAGTATAAAACTCAAACTTTTAGGGGCATTTTGGCAAGCTGGCAAAAAATTAATTTTGATTTTTTGACTTTTTTAAATTATATCACCTTTCTATCTTTTTACACTAAAAAAATCAAAAATTTATAAATAAAAAAAAGCCAAAAAATTAACTTTTTACTATAATTCCAAAACACCACTTAGTGCAAGATGTACATGATTAAAAGAGGTAGATTTATCTCTAGTTCATACTTTATGAGTTTAGTAGAAGTTCATGAACTCACCATAAATTCTATTTTGATAATTCAATACATTGATTTTTTAAACCCATTATGCAGATTATCTCTCCCTTCATTTTTTTTTTAAATTCTATAATTATAATAAAATAAATTTATTTATTACATTTATCATTAAAAATAGAGTACTGCTATTAGCACCTATTTAAATTCTTTAGACCCTCTAATTTTTAAATTTTTTTATCACAATTATATCCTGAAATAAAATTACACCAAAAGACATCATTTAATGGAATATCGACCTACCAAATAAGAATTAACACTTTACAATATTGTACACCCACCCACACCCCCACTCCTACCTCCACCTCCACCTCCACCTCCAACTATATGTATTGCACCTTTCTAAAAACTAAACTTATTACTTTTCATAACCAACCAATATAAACCCTAAAAACGTTACTCTTCATAACTATCTTAAAACCTGAATGTATTCTTTTCATCATCATCATAAACCCTCCAGAACCAAAAATCTTGAACTATAAAGCTCTTTTCAAGTCCAATTATTACGCTTCATCAGTTATTTCACCTTGTAGAGCAATGGAGGACGGTGACAACAATTCTGATGTTGCTGGCATTCCATTGGTAAGTTTATCTGTATTAATTGCATTAATATTCTTGGTCGTTTTCAATCGTTGTTGTTTTATTTGAACTGTTCGGTGCTGGTTTGCCAACTTTTAAGATTATATTTGGTAACATAGTACTGAACACAAACATTTAGTTCAATATATGGGCTCCGAACAATAATGCAGATAGTCGGTACTGGTGTGCCGAACGGTTCGATTTTTGTATCTTCAACACCAGATTATATGTTTCATTAGGATTTTACCTGACGAATTTTCGACGAGTTTTCTGGAGTGGTAGACAGGAATTTTCAACGAGTTTTGCGACGGTATTCTTTGGACACTGTCAAGTCAATTCTCATTTCGTCGAGAGTTGACAGGAATTTCAATGATGGACCATCGATGCAATGTTTTTCACTAAGGCAATGGTGTTTATTAATGCAATGACCGTCGACATTCTTTTCAACAAGAGAAAGACGATCATCAAAAGGAGAAGGAGAGAGGGTGTGCAAAATTAGGTGGGTGTACCCTTGGGTGTGATAATATTATGAATAACGATAAATTTGGTATTAAGTGGAGTATTAAAAGAAATCTTATTGAAATTTAGGATTTACGGTATGGGCTCAAAAAAATGAGAGGTCCAAAGAATTTAGAGAGGTGCTAATAGCAACCCAGGGTAAATTACAAATACATTGCTTGATATTTGCTTAAAATATAAATTGTCGTGTGACTCTAAAAATTACATTCCGCCCTTTCAACTTTCTAATCGCATAATAAATGAGTTTTTTTATTAACAAATTATTAAGTCAATTAACAATTTTTAATGATGTCAGAAATATATTTCAATTAACAATTCAGGTGATTTTATTATTGAATAGGTAAGTAGTCAGCAATTTTATTTTTTTAATTAATTCTATTAAATAAAAAATTATGATAATAAGGTATTTGTATTTTTTAATTTTTTGAAACTAATAAAATATATACTTAAAATATTTTTTAAAAAATTAGTAAAAACAAAAAAATGGAAAACTTAATTTTCAAAAAATTGAAATCAAACAAATAATATCATTTGTATTTTAAACAAAACTCATAGTTATATTGATATTTTATCATGAAAAAAATAGGGCAAATTGCTATGTCCTTTTTGAAAGTGTGTATTCTATTTTATCCCAAAACCTTTTGGTAGACCAAAAAATTTTGTACCCATTTTTCTTCTCCTCTTTCTCTACACCATGTTTTTTCTCTTTATCTCTCTTTCTCTGGTTTCCGGTGACAATAACAACCACAGGTTTCTTCTTTTATTTCTTTTTCTGATCTACAGTCACCAGCGACCATCATTGATTGATGTTAATCATGTGGTTTAAGTTTGATGATGTCTAAAATATTATGAGAAAAATTATGATTTTTCAATATACATATTTTACAATATTTGATACAAAATATTTACTGTGCATGTTTGAAATTCATGAAAGTTACTGTGCATAAAATCTGTTTGTCACTATTCACTATTCACATTTTGAAAAAATCCGTTTATCACTGTTCACTTCTTTTGACAAATTTGATATACCTACATAGAGCGGTGGGTTATTTTTTTAGAGTGTATTTAAAATCTCTACAAAAATTATAATAGAGATATATATTTTCAGATGTATTGTAAATATTATTTAAAGAGGTTTTATTGTGCAATCAAATATTTTAATAGAAGAGTTACTATGCTAGTTACTGTGTAACATTTGAAAATTGTAAAATTTGGAAGAAAATTAGCAGATCACTGTTCATCGAAGGCGACTTGGCAAATATTTTCAAACGGGACGGTGCTCTACATGCTATAAAGTCAAGATGAGGAGCGTGTGCCTCAATGGATATAATTTTATGTATATATAGAAGTGTTTTGATAAGAGAACAATATGTAATATTGAAATATTTTCAAATATTATATAGTACTTTATTGAGTTATATTTTCTATGAGAAAATTTATTGAGAGTTTGAGCAAAATTGTAAAAAGGTTTTCTATCCCTTATTCATATTATTTTTGTAAAAATAGAGTTTTTGTGAGTGATTTTTTTGGAATAAAATCACTTGGGTTAAGTGTGACTAGGCACCGGATTGTAAACTAGTCGGAGTGACAAGATTGGTCACTTGTAAAGGTTCACTAGCACCTATGAAGCTAGTGGTGTAATTACTATTTGAAAAATAGTGAAAAAATTTCTGAGGAGGAAACTTAGGGAGTGGATGTAGGCCAACGTATCAAACCACTATAAATCGGTATGTTTGATTTCTCTTCCCTTTGCTCATTTTATTTCATTACTTTATTTTATATTGTTGAGCATATTTATTTATTTATTATTTAGGTTAATTTTTAATTTGGTAATTTATGTAGAAATCTAATTCACCTCCTCTTGGGTTGCCTATATGGAATAATAATTGGGGTTCACTAGCAACCACTAAGTACCGACTCCTTATTTCACACTTACCGATGGTGAAGGAGATGATTTTCCGATGAAAAAGTTGTAAATCTACGTCAAATCCGGCTAGATCTAAACTAAAAATAATTGCCAAAGTATAAACATCTCTCTATATGTATCTCTTTCCTTTGATCTCTCAGTAGTTATTGTTGTTGTTGTTTTTTTTTTTTAATACTATACACTTCTGTTTTCCTATTTTAATTTAGAAAATTGTCAAATTATGAACAAGATGTTTTCGAGTTTTAGTTATAGGTGGTGAAAACTGTAAACAATTTTAGTTACAATTTTTTTTTTTTTTTTTTTTTTTGGGGTGTCGTGTGCTCTGAAATGAATCTATTATTAGAACTGTAAAATTTATAATTTTATAACTTTTTGAATTGTAAAATTTTTATAGTTCATAATATGTTTTTAAGTTTGAGTTAATATTTAGATAATATCTCAAATGGGACCACATAATTTAAATTGTGGTGTTATCATTTATAAGAAAGCCTACAATTTAAGTGATTCAATTTAGTTAATAGCTTAAGGGTATATGTGTTATGGACCTAATGGTAGTATACTAGTTGTATAATTTCTATTTCTTTATGAGGGGACAGCAAATAGAAATTAAAACATATTGGTTAAAGTTGGTTTTCTTACCTTTCAGTTTTAAAACCAATAATGGTTAATTTATTGGTTTTCATTACCTTTCAGTTATGAAAACCAATTACAACCTTTAAAAGGTTATGGTCCCTATTCCTTCCCAAGGTGAAAAATAAGAATACTGTTTTGTTTTTCTAAATCCTCTCAAGGAGAAACATAAGGCACCAAAGGGAAAGGATTAGAAGGCTCTAACAAAATCAATATTAAGGTTTTATTGACAATCAGACATTTCCGTTTAACCGTTCATCAATGGATTTAGGTATGTCATTTTGTCTTGATTTCTTGATAATACACATGGTAAATGATCCAAAGTGTAAGGTTTATTTTCTGAAATTTATGTTTACATAATAAAGATAAATGCTTAATAGAATTATTCTTTGAAACTGTAACATTTTACAGTTTCAATGTTTGCTTTTCAGTTTGATCAATATTGGAGATTATTTACATAAACCTTAAAAAAATTAAAAATAATATATGTTTTTTTCCCCATTATTGTTGTTTGTTGTTATTACATTTTTTTTTCTTCTTTCAATTTATCAATATTTAGCATATTTGCCATGTTTTTTGTTTTAATTTCTTAATTTATTATCTTTTTTTTTTGGCAATATTTTAGACATTCTAGTGAGTCTCCAGCGATATTCTTGACGTCTAGCGAGAAATTCCGGTTATTTCTAGTGATGTTCAGAACACTCCGGCGACTTCCCCGTGATATTGAACATTTCGACGAATCTCTAGTGATCATCTGACGAAAGTCCGACAGTGGTAGGATGTAACAGCGTTTTTAAATTTTTAAAAAAATTGATAATAATTAAAAATATGCAAGACTAATCAGTAAAAGTGTTTTGTTTTGAGATTAGATGGGTCGCTTTGAAAAGTCAAAAATAAGGCTTTTAGCGATAAAATTTCAAAAATGTCAATAATAAATAGACTTCTGAGATAATTTGGTCTTAAAATGGTTTATTTTTTGAGACAAAAAATTTGATACCAAAAAGATAATAATTAATCACTAATGTTCAATTTTCATTACTAAAAATATAATGACGACACTTTTCGCAACAAAAATATTTGGTCCCCTAAAAATAATTTTGTCCCTAAATTTTGATCTCTAAAATCTTAATTTTTTATAGTGTGATAAATGTTTTTTCATTTTAATTTTGTATTTCATAACTTATTTAAAAATAATAATCTAGCTAAACCTCAGAAGAATCTGTAATTTAACTAAATTTTAAGAAGTTTAAATAATTTGCCTTTATTTGTCAAAAGAATATTTTAGCCAATTTATAATATCCGTTAACAGTATTAATTATGATATAGTGAGATATAATTTTTAACACCACAAAGAAAAATCTGTAATTTACCCCCAACAAAATATGTAGAGAAGAATTTTGAAAAGGGTCTTGGCAAACAAGCTAATTGGGCCATGGCCCATAAGACTTGGTGTTTCCGTGAACTGTGAGAAGCCATTGGAGGCAGAGGGAGGGAGAGGGTTCAGCGATGGCGGCGGCATCGTTGAGGTGGATACTGCAAGCACACAGGGACGTTCCAAAAGCAGCAAAGTTGTACTCAGAGGGCTTGGGTTTCACCATCAATGTCTGCACTCTTCGCTGGGCCGAACTTCAATCTGGTCCTCTCAAACTCGCCCTCTTTCATTCCCCCAGGTCTCTCTCTTTCTCTCTCTGAATTGGGTTTTGATCCTTTGCTTTGTTACTCCAAACCCTTTGCCTATTTTCCAATTTAGGGGAAATAGGACTTGTTTCTCTGCTATTTATTTGTTCTGCACAAGCTAATTGTACCCAATTTCTGGTATTTCATGATCATCTATATAAGCTTGATTTCCAATTTACCCTCATTGGATAAAGAAAAATCAAGGTAGGTTATCGTCATGATTCATGATTGTCCCACTTTTTATTCCATGAAACATTGAATACTACTCAATTTTATTTATTTATTTTTGGTGCAAAATTTTTGTGAGGTGGATATTCTGGTTTTATCACCAAATGTTTGAGGCTGATTATATAATTAGCTTTTGCATATTTAGATTATAGTAAGGCTGTGTTTGGATCATAGATTTGGATGACGATTGGAAAAGTGAAAAGAGAAACGATGAGTAAAATGTCAATAAAATATAAGTTCGATTTGTGTTCTCCATTTGCCTTTCCTTTTTCCTTTCGAAATCGTGATCCAAATACAGCCTAAGTTTGAAGATTTTGAATGGTGGAATTTATAATTTTACCTTAACAGTTAAAAGACAAACAATATTTGTTCAACACTATCAAAGACTGATTTTTGTTAGCTAATTTTGGAATTGTAATAAAAACTTTATGTAGCCTCAATTTGGTGTTCAAACCAAGCCAACATGTTCACTTTATATAGTTGTATTGCTGAAGTTAACAAATTTATTCATTGGAAGGAAAGCAACCTAATTTTTGATGAGGTTGATTCTATTGTTATGACAGAAGATAGGAGCAATGCCAAATTGGGCCTTCAGGCCGAGTTGAATCTACTCTCAAGTCTTGACCATTCTTGGCTGTTCGGGTGTCGCTCCGTTTAGGTTTTACCTCCACCAACGAATTTCTCCCTACAAAAAGAAATAGGAAGATTACCTGAGATGATGGAATATAATTGATGGGTATATATGTAGCGCGCCTAGACTGACGTCAAGTGAGTTTAATCTAGACCAAGTCCAGATCAACTGACTAGGTGAGGCAGGGCTAAAAGCCCAGGCTGCCCTCAAGTTGTGTATGACTAGATCCCCTAGTCTGATCAGGATGACCTGAAGAACTTGACTAGCCATCCTGACTTGATGACCCAGGGGACCTGACCAACCACTATCATTATTTTTTGAATATAGCGGGTACTACAAATGTACATATAAAAGAGTAGACTCTCTAATATGGCATGCATAATGGTAATGCCTTAGCGCATATTTGAAACTAATCACTGCATCTGAAGAAACCTACTCTTTTGTCAAATTAAAGAAACCTACTGAAGGTTATGGAAATTGGGCAGACACTATGTATGTATATTTTATACAGGGTGTTGTCTAGTTGGTAGTGGATTTGCTCCCCACATGCCCAACTCATGTTCGACTTTTGTCATACCCGCCCATTCGCCTAGATTATGTGATTAGGGGGTGTCGTTTGATCCTCAAGTTTACACTCCTAGGGTAGGCTCAAAGGACCTTGCCTAGGACACTGTTCCCAATTATCAAAAAAAAAAGGAAAAAAGAAAAGAAATTTGAATTCATGGCCTCAACGGCAACAACATTTGAGGGATTCTATAGTTTTTCTATGCAATAAAACTTGTGAATGGAAGAACCATTAAAAAAAATAATAATAAAAAAAAAATCTATAATTCTAATATGACGTTTACATTAATTACCATACATAAACATTGGCTTCATGATTAGTTATATGTACTGCATTACCACTATATATATTATAGTCCCATTAGGCTATATTTGGTTAATGGATTTGGGTAGGGGTTTGAAAAGGAAAAGGAAAAAAGTGTGTGCAATGTAGGTGAAATGTAGCTATATTTCATTCACATTTCACTCACTTTTTTCCTTTCCCTTTCCAATTCTCTATCCAAATCCATGAACTAAACATAGCCTTACACTAATTTATTTTCTATCAAGATGGAAGGAGCAAAATGTTACAAATGGAAAATTGACAGTAAATTTCACGTAATCTTGCAGACAGAATTGGGTGCTCAACTGATGCCTAAAATTTCTACTTCCTATTTACTTTCTCATACAGACCTCTTACATTTACTTGGAAAAACAAAAATTGTACTAAATTTTATTTCTTTGCATATGGCTGTTCTGGAATATAATTAATTTGAATTAGCTGCTAACTGTAAGCTTTGCAGTGAACATGGCATTCAGAAGGGATACTCATCAATCTTATCCTTTACGGTGACAGACATTAACAATACAGTGACGAAACTAATGGCTTTGGGTGCAGAGCTCGATGGTCCCATCAAATATGAGGTTCATGGAAAGGTAAATACCCAACTCACTCTTTGAGTTGCATAATTTGTAAAACTATCATGCTTCTTCCTTCTTGAGCAGCTCTACCACTTGCCAATCACGACATTCCAATTTGCCTATTGCCTTCTCATCTTCTTTATAATATTGATTTTTGGGGTGGGGTGTTTAGATCTTAATAGAACAAGCAAACATTCTGATGTAGGGGAAACATGTAAGAGCAGAATCTATAGCAGCAAGAACATCACAACTCTTCTACGAGTCTATTGAATCATAAGATTACCATAATGATAGGAAATGGAAGAGAAACTCTCAAGGAAATTATTGAAGGCCCTAAGGCTTACAACTATTATTCATAATAAAAATAGAACCCTAATCCACAACTAAGAAACAACCAATTATGACAATTCCCTAACTACCATGACAATAATAAAAAATAAAAAAATAAGAAAATTATCAAAAATGATAATTTTTGAGTTGAACTCAGATTTAAATATTTGGACCCCCAAAAAAATAAAATAAAATAAATAATAGGATTCGTATGAACCAAGTAATTGACGATAGAACTTTCAAAAAATTGCAAAATTTAATCCCTAAATAATGGAATTCGCCCAAAATCCACAAGGGTGCTAATATCTACTCTGTTTTCCATCATGGCACCAAATTTCATACAATTCTAAGCACGTGCCATTTGGTCCTTGCTAATGCCACTTGCCCCATGTGTCTATCTATATGTTTCAAGAATTATATGGCCAAGCACTCTCCATCACATTCCCAATTACATTGAATGCATGCTATGGCTGGCTAGTGGTAACCACTTCAGTAATTATAATGATTCTACACGTCAAGTTCTCACTTCATCTCTTTGTTTTTTACAGTTCCTGCAAGTGCACAGAACCAGTTGTCTCCGGTTCTATGATTGGATTCTGTGTGCTTAGAATTTTTCTTATTTTTGCTTTGATAAATGGTGCCTTGGGCAGGTTGCAGCCATGCGTTGTGTTGACGGGCACATGGTGGGTCTTTACGAGCCTGCCTGAGAAGTGTCAAAAAGCGAGCTTGTTCCTCCACAGCAACCAAGTGAAGCAACTGCTTTCCGGGAAGAATCAGATGATCAAACCTCCTGTTGTTGTTCGAAGAAACAGGAAATCCGCGCTGCTCGATTATGTTTAATAATGGACAGTCTTTTGTTTAGACAGATCAACCACCAGGACAGACATGCCAGACCTTCAGAAAATTTGCAGGCAACTGGAGAAAGGAACGTTCAATTACATCGGCAGATTTGTAATTAGTGAACATAAGATGGTGTCATAGTCATAGATGATCATCCAATGATACATATATTTTGTGTAATGCATAATTTGCCCCTTTTTGAGGGATTCAAACTAACATTATCTGTAGATTTTTTAACTTTCTTTTGGTTATATTTGAATAATAGTAATCTTGAGGGGAATGAGAATGTGATTCCGAGTTCCATGATTCCAGAGTCTGGAACGGATCATAATGGAAAAGTGATTCCTTGTTATTTATATTAGTAGAAATCATATGAATTCGATTCCCATACTCTTCAATGGGAATTTTACATTTGTGAAGGAATGTTAACCATTTATGAATAAAAAATCCTAATTGGACTTATAGTATTTTTAATTTTATTATTTTCCCATTGAATGATCTTAACGAAACTAATCCCTTGAATAACATCGACACATAAATTTTATTATTAGTAATCTCATTACTTAGGTGTCGTTTGATAACACTTATGTTTTCAGTTTTCTGTTTATATTTACAAAAATTTAAAAAACTTAAATAAAAACTTGTTTGGTAAAATTTTTAATTTATAAATCAGTGGTCTCAATTTATAAATTTGGTAAAAAAATGAAAATACAAAAAATGTGTTTCTATTTTGATTTTTCAATTTTTTTTTTTTAACACCCAATGAGCCCAAATTTGAGTGGGTCCCAAACCTCTTTTGGGGAAGGTCCAAAGAGGTGACGTGTTCCTTGCTGCATAGAAAGTCACACGGTGAAGATGGTTTGTCAAAACCATTTATGAGTGAATGGGAACTTGACGTCGTTTTCGGGCTCGTAGAATGGACATTTAAAGAAGTAGAATGTGGGTTTCCTTGTAATGCTTGTCCCACATTGGAAACCTAAGAGAACTTTTATTTGTATATAAGTTCTAGGTGGTAACACTTAGGTTAGGCCCCAAGGGACACCCCAAGTTTGTAGAAGGGAGGAGTTATGGACAAATGAAACCTTGGCTCAAACCACCATACGCGCGCGCACGGCCGCCACTGTCCGTCTAATCAGCCAGGCGGGCACGGGTGTGGATTGTGGGTCGAGTCGGTTCTAACATTAATTTTTTGGAGAAAATCTGTTTGAATTTTTTCCAAAAATTATTACGGGAAATTAATTCAAAATTTTGTACCAAATTTGAATTCAAATTTTATATCTATAATTGTGCTGCTTCTAGTCCAAAATTCCCTACAGATAAACTGGTTTTTAACAGGTTTTAACTGCCAGAATTGCTCAGCAGTTCTGGATAGTTTTTCCAAAGAGATTCAAACCTGAAACTACTTCAAATTTGTTGGAATTTTGAATCGTATCAGTTCAAAACAGTTTCATACCTGTTCGGTTCAAGACAACACCTGTTCGGACAGATCTATATCCCTATAAATGCCAGTCTTTTTAGCAGTCTTTTGGATCCAAAAATAGTCTAAAAAAATCATTTTCTTGCTGTCCACATTTTGTTCTTTCTTTGCATAATTCTTCATATTAATTTTAGGGAATACTTAGAGAGTATAAAACACAGGTTTGGTTTGTCGTACAAATTGTTTGGAGTGCTAATACAATTTGTGAAGATCATTGTATCCTGGTAGACAAACGCCTTTTATCCGTAAGCACGATAGCAGGGCGAATCTATCTTAAAGACAGAGTGTCACACAATTGACTTGATTTTTTATGTACTTTACATTTAGGTAAAGTAAATTTTGTAAGTAATTTATTTTTATTTATTTGATTTGTTTCAAGTTATTTATTTTACACAGACGATTGTTCCAACATATTTACAGCAATACGACAACTTGTCTATGCCCACTCCTGACCTTCCCTACCGACATTATCCAGTAAGAAATGGTTTTTCACCAAGTAATTTAAGAGTGGTGCTATTAGCACCGCATGAATTATTTTGGACCCCCCATTTCTTTGAACCGCTACTTATAAATTTTGAAACATTAGGTAGCGTTTGGTAACGTTTACATTTTTGGTTTATGTTTACAAAATTTTTATAAACTGATTTTTGTTTATTTTTAGAAAAACATAAACTACAAATGAGTTTGGTTTGAACAAAATATTTGAAAATTTTTAAAAACATAAACTAAAAATATATGTTTGTTTAGGTCTAAAATATTTATATTTATTATTTATGACAATGAAATCATACACATTATAATTGAAAAAAAATTAATTAAAAAAAATTTAATTGGAAAAAAATGAAAAAAAATAAATTAAAAAAATAATTGTAAAAAATCTAATTGGAAAAAAATTATTTGAAAAAAAAAATGAAAAAAATTAATTAAAAAATAATTGAAAAAAATTTTAATTGGAAAAAAAATATTTGAAAAAAAATTAATTGAAAAAAAATCATTTGAAAAAAAAATAATTGAAAATAAATTATTTGAAAAAGAAATTAGTTGGAAAAAAAAAATTGTTAATTAAAATTTTAAATTTATGTTTAAAAATCAATGTAAACTCACTTTTTGAGTTTACATTTTTTTTCTCAAATTTATAAACTGAGACAACTATTTATAAACAAAAAAAATTATCAAATAAGTTTTTATGACAGTTTTTAAAATTTTTATAAATATAAACTGAAAATTGAAAACGGAATGATTACCAAACAGACCCTTAATGTTCAATTTCACACTATAACTTTAAAATATTTATATACATTAAATAAGTTTTTTATTTTTGTTTTTTCAAATAAAAAAATTATCAAATAAGTTTTTATGACAATTTTTAAAATTTTTATAAATATAAATTGAAAATTGAAAACAGAATGATTAGCAAACAGACCCTTAATGTTCAATTTCACACTATAACTTTAAAATATTTATATACATTAAATAAGTTTTTTATTTTTGTTTTTTCAAATTCACACTATAACTTTAGGTTTTAAGTTTTTAATTTTTTTGTTTTTTAATACTTTTCCGAGTTCAAATGATGCATTCTTTAACCTATAAAACCCACAAGCATAGAGCAATCCAATTTCCAATTGCAATGTCCACTTGATGCAGTAAATAATTTGTAGGCCTTGTTTGGCAAAGGTTACAATTTGGCTTTTTAGGTTAAAATTCACAAAAAGATAAAATAGACTAAAACAATCAATAAGACAAAATGTCACATTAAACCTACAATCATTCCACTTTTATGTTATAAACATCACATCCAACTAAAAAAAAATCTAACCATCTTCTTAAATACAAAAATTTTAACCTACTAAAATAATTAAAAACTAAAATAACCGACTTTCCAAACAAAGTCATAGTCATAGACCGCAAAAAACACAAAAGCCAATGTGCCTTCCCTACTGGCACCCTCTGTTTTTACCAAAGCACCGACATAGAACCCTGTATGGCTACTTTCTAAACTCAGCTTACGCATAACTCGATTAAATTTTGAGATCTTAATATTAATAATCGAGTAAACTTTTAATAATTCTAAGGATTAGAATATTTGACCTTGGTAAGTTTTGAATTTACAACCTCCTAGATAGTAAACCATTTGATTGTTTTCACCATTAAGTTTTGAATTTACAACCTCTTAGGGAGTAAGCCATTTGATTGTTTTCTCTATTTATTAAGCTAATCGGTTATAATTGTTAGTCATTAATGTAGCTATTGGTGGGAAACAAAATATAAATCGAAACAAAATAAAATTTTAAAGTAAATATACAATAATAGAAAGATCTTACGTGATTCATTCTAACATAAGGCCTCGTTGGAAACATACTATTTTAGTAATTTTATGATTTTTTAGTTAAAATATGAGGTAAAAAAAATAATATATTTGGAATGACTTTTAATTTTTTTACGGAAAGATGTACAAAAAGTAGAGAGAAAATAAAATCTTTAACTTTTTGATATAAGTTATAAGCTTTTTAATTTTTTAGTAACTTTTTGACTTTTAAGCTAAAACATGTGTATCCCAAACGAGGCTTAAGTTTTTATCTATTAGGCCCTGTTTGTTTTCAGAGGTAGAATAGAGGTGATTCATAGTAAGGAGATTAATAGTGAGGGGATTGTTAGTGAGAGGATTAAGTAAAATTATTTTTATTTTGATAATAATTGTTAATGTAGGAATTGTTAAATTATTTTTATATAAACTAATAAAACAAATAAAAAAATTCAAAAAATTAAACATTAATGTTAAAAAAAAAATGCCCAACATGTAAAAAATAAAAAAATTTCTAGTCCCCTTACTATTTTTCTAATACCACCTTCACCTCCACCTTCTCCATCCCAATCCCCCTTCCAACCTCCATCTTAATCCACTCTTCCATCCTAATCATTTTTCCAACTCTACAGACAAACATAATACTAAGTGGGCCTCACCTCTGTCCTAATTCCATCCCATCCTCTACATCCCAAAACAAACAGGGCCTTATAATTGTACAATTGAAAGAGAAAAAATTCTATGGTATATATTTTGGTTATGGCTTTTGAGTCAATAGTTATTACTTACTGACACTATATTATTAGTTATGAAACATTGCGATATTAGTTATGACAAAATTTTAATTATGATCCAAGAGTTGTTTGGTTATACCTCATGTAAATTTTAGTTATTACTCAATTTTTTTTTTTATTTTTTATTTTTTCGTTAGGACTCCCATAGTACTGAGTTATGCTATTTGTGATAATCAAATTCTCAAATGATATAATTTAGATATGGTATACACCCTGTCGTGAAAGATATAATACAATATAGAGATGTAAATACTTTATATATAAATATATAGTATTAAGACAAGGGTTTAGTTTCTCTCGAGTTGTCATCTCAATATAAGAGAGTGTTTGAGCTTAGTAGGCCATTTTAAAACCGATTTCAGTAATTTGAATTATTCACTTTTTTGGATTCATTAAGTAGAATAACCATATAAAAAATAAGATGATTGAATATCGGTAATTATATGTTTGAATCATATTAGTTTTTAAAAAATGAATAATAAATATAATTTTAAAAATAACCATCCAGTTTTTGTAATAGAAATTTGATTCAAACATAAAGCTATTCATATCCGATCATCTTAATTTTTTACATAAATATTCTACTTAATGAGTTCTAAAATATAAATGAATTGAATTATCAAAACAGAACTTGTAATGAGTTCCACGAGTCTCCAAAGTTATCTCATGTTAAAATGTAAACATAAAAATAACTTAATCCTTAAAATAATATGATAGAAGTGTGAAATATTAAAATATCATTACTCTAAAACTCCTACCTTTGAGTTAGGGACAAGCCCTAGTGTTCAATTATCAAGGTCCACACAATTAATAACAATCACAAAATGCGTGAAACTAACTTAATCCATCTAATTGATTGGGTGAGAGACAAAATCTGCCCTGTCTAT